AATAACGAAAAGGTAGTTGTGAGACTCCAATGCCAATCCCAGAACTCATCTCGGCAGCATAATCAGATGAGCAACCCCCGAAATACAATTTAGACTTTTCCTTGTTAATTTTAAGACCTGAAACAGATTCGAAAGAGGTAAGTGTTGCTAGCAAAGAGTCAAGGGAAGTCCGTGTACCATCTGTGAAGACTAGGAGGTCATCGGCAAAAGAAAGATGGGTTATGCGCAATTCTTGACATTTCGGATGGTAGCCAAGATGTCCTTCAGCCGCACTTCTGTCAATCATTGCAGCAAGAGTATTCATACCAAGCACAAATAGGTAGGGAGAGAGGGGACATCCTTGTCGGAGTCCTCTAGTACCGGTGAAAAAACCATGTAAACCACCATTGATGCTGAGGGAAAAATGAGGTGTAGTGACACAGGCTAGAATTGGTTCGATAATCTGATCGGGTAGTCCAAGTGAGTGGAGAACAAAGCTAAGAAAGTCCCATTCCATAGAATCAAATGCCTTAGCAATGTCGAGTTTGATGATGGCTCTCTTGGATATGTCGCGTTTGTGGTAATCCTTTGCTATTTCCGCAGCCAAAAGACAATTTTCGGCTATTGTACGACCTGAAACGAATGCTGACTAATTCTGTGGTGTCACTGCATTGACAACCTCTTTGAGTCGTCGAGCGAGCACCTTCGCAGCCACTTTGTATAAGGTGTTACAGCAGGAGATCGGACGAAAGTCCTCCAGTCTTTCAGCTCCCCGCACTTTCGGTATCAGCACTAATGAAGTGGCACTTACAGACTTGGCCATAATCCCTGAGTTCAGGAAGTGAAGGACAGAATCAGTGAACTATTCCCCTAAGATACTCCAAGACTTCTTATAAAATTCCACTGTGAAGCCATCCGGTCCCGGACTTTTATTTGAGGCCATAGAGAACAACGTCGTTTTAATTTCCTCAGAGGAAAAAGGTTTTGATGCCGCTCAGATGACGGTCTCCGCAGCCAGTGGTATCAATGAGGAGATCTCCTGCAACTCAGCTCTTGTCCTGGCAGATCGAGGAGGTCCTAGGATCCTTTTGTAGTAATTGACAGCTTCTAGCACGATCTCACTAGCTTTATCCAGTCTCTGACCATTTGAGCCTACAATCGACCTGATGGAATTTTGACCTCGTCGTATCATCATCGATCTGAAAAAGTATTGTGAATTCTGATCACCACATCTCAACCAGTGAATCCGTGATTTCTGCTTAAGGAATTGCTCTTCAATTGCTTTCAATTTGGTCCAGCGATTAAGACAAGTCTGCTCCGATATAAAGGTTGCTGCCGACGGGACTTGGAGAGCATTGACCTGCGCAGAAAGTAAATCAGAAAGTGAGTTAGCCACTCTCTTTTGTATGTCACTGTAATTTTCTCGACAGAGTGTTTTTATGGGATTTTTTTGCAACCTCTGCTTCCGATGAAAAGACGCGAGACTTGAGCTCCTTGGCCCCGACACTGCCCATGAGCTCTCAAGTATTGGTAGGAAGGATGGGTGATCGGCAATGAAGTTGAAAAATTTGAAAGGCTTGGATATAAGAGGTCGTTGGCTCTTAAGGTGGATGATACAAGGTGAATGGTCTGATGGGTGTGGCGGGAGAAAACCAGCATGGCTATCCGGAAACGTAAGTAACCAGGATTCATTGATTAGTGCCCGGTCAAGTTTTTTGGCTATCGGGTTTTCTACTTGTCGGTTTGTCCAAGTATATATTGGGCCATGAAAGGGTAAATCGAAGGTTGAGGTTGAGAAAAAGAGGTCTTGAAATCTGATCATATTAGGAGTTTGGTGGGTTAGAGTATCGGAGGAGTGTTCACAGGGAAGACAGATTTCATTGAAATCGCCACAGATTAGCCATGGCAATTGGGTAGGAATTGTTCGCCCATGTAAGTCTTCGAGAAGGCTCCATAATTCAGCTCTATCAAAACTGTCATTGGATGCATATATGGCCGTAACATATAATGCTGGTTCTCCCGGGATGTTAAGCAACATCGTGATTGATTGGGCAGATTTATGTACAGTTGTGGTTGTGACAGAATCCTTAGTCAGAAACCAGATTCTACCGGAGCTTTCCTCTGCATAATTAGCAGTGCAATTCCATTGCGTGCCGAACTTTGACAAAATAGGGACCATGTTGGCCTCCTGCACGTGGGTTTCCAAAACCGCACCAAAATACAGCGAAGATGTCTCCAAAAACTTATTTATTGCCGCTTGCTTCCTCGGGTCGTTTAGACCTCTTATGTTCCAAAAAAACTCTGACATAAGGCAAAAGATTAGATGGTGTCTCCCTTATCGGGAGATTGTAAACCGGGCACCGGTAAAGAGGGTAGGGGGAGGTTCGGACAATTGGTTCCAATGGTGCTATCTGTTTGGGCTTGTATATCAGGGGATGGTAAGAGGGATGAAGGGATTGTTTGATGAGGTGGGAGGGGTGATATCTGTGGTGTCAAGTTTGAAGGGCTTGGTTCTTTGGTGACTGGCAGTGTCGTAGTGTGGTTATTAACTGTTTTATGCTCAGAGGTGGAAGTGGCCGATAGAGTCGGTTTCTCCCCTGGACTCGGTTTAGGTAAACTGAGTGGGACAATAATGGATGGGGCTGGTTTAGTGGAACCTTGGGGATCAGAGTTCTTCGGAGCCACGGAGGATTTTGAAACGCCGGGGGCTACGGTTTCCACAGATTGCTGGCGACGAGGGCACGATTCGAGCTTATGCCCAAACTCTGAACAACCAGAGCATTTAGGGGGAGTCCAATGGTATAGTATGTCTATTGTATCCACTGAACCGTCTTCAAGCTCCACTTCTACTTCCTTAGGCAGCGGCTTAGTGAGATTCACGTCAACCTTGACGTCCACGGCTTTAATGCTAGTAATAGGTTTGTAGGCTATCGGGTCTCCTACTGCCCCTGCAATATGACTAATGCCTTCCACGGTGAGAAGGTGGAGAGGGACGTTGGTCATATGAATCCATAACTGGGCTTTACGCAATGACGGTGGTTCCCTCGAATATTCCGGAGACCATTCCAGGACAAAAAACGCATGGGCGCCAATGTACCATAGTTCCTGCTTCAACCCAGATTGTCTAATGTGCGCTGAATGAATCTTCACCAGAATTGCCGATTCACTAATTGTGTGAATTTCTAATTTCCTTTCTTTGCCCCACCGATGGTTAAGGACAGCATATACTTTCGGCATCCGAAGAAGAGTCCCATAGAAGGTGCATACAACATAATCTTGAAAGTGTTTGAGCCCTGCTTCCACTACAGAATTCGGGATTTTCACTCTGGGGTTACCTGACGGTGAGGTAATTGGTTCACTGATGCGGGAGAGCTCATATGTGTCACCCCGCAATCTGCTGGCCCAGGTATTTCCCAGAGTTGCCCGTCGATGAGGCGGGAATCGACGCGGAGGGAGCTGCTCTGTAACAGGAGCAGATTGTTCAACTGGTTGGATAGATTAATGTAAAGATAATGCTGATTTTGTATTCCAAAGATCAAAGAAATACAAAATCCCAGTTCTCACAGAGAGGAGCACCACTCTCAACTTCACACCACTCACAAAATGAAAATCTCGATACCTCAACAATAAAGAAAAAGATAGCTAAATACTTGCCCTAGCCGCAACAACCTGCTGAGCTGGCCCAATGATAATTGCCTGTACATAACGACCTGACATTCTCCCTGCGTGTCCTTGCTCCCCATTGCTCCTAGGTAGTTATTGTTGTCCCACCCATGTCTCCATGGTCCCCACGTGCTGCCCCCTTCTTTGCAGAAACTCCCTCTGTTGCGCTTCCACTTGCCTTGCTCTGCTCTGCTCCCATCTCAGTATTGCATTCCTTCTTCTTCCCCTTGTTCCTGCGGCTGTAGACTCGGAAAGGTTTATCAGTAGCCTGGTCCGCAGAAGAAATTGCAGACTCTCCTTGCACCACGTTGGCTGGAGGGGCCGGAGTAGTGCCAGTAGTAGGTTGAAGCTGCCGGTTTAAGGGAGATAGCGGCAGAGGAGGAAAATCCGTAGAGGGAAAAATTCCAAAATTAGGGTTTTGAGATGTAGGAGATGAGATATGGGGGGTTTTGGAGGAGGTGGGGAATAGCTTGGGTTTGGTGGAGGTGATGAGATAGTTGGGGTAGGGTTACGGCGTTCCCTTAGTCGGGAAGAGGCCCGACGAGAGGGTGGTGGAGAGGTGCTATGTCGTCGTTGGGAGGAGGTGGCCATGTCAGCTAATGACCGATCAGGGGGTTTGCTGGCAGTGGGATGATTTTTCTGCCGACCCATGAGTCGACGGGTTCGGTGTCGGAGAGCCGACACGGGGGGCTCACGGCTCGCGTCTCTTCACGGTAATCTCTCTCTCTCTCTCTCTCGGCAATTTTATTTTAAGGTTTACGATTAATATATTACTTCTTTGTCGATTAATATATTAAGGCAACGGTAAGTTCCCCATTACTATTTTTTTTTATATATCAACTTAATTTTGATTATAATTATGTTTATCATGTCTTTTATCTATTTTTCTTTAGAAATTCTACTTAAAATCCATTGGTATCAATGCTACGGTTCAGAATTAATTGTTAAGGACAATACGTGAAATATTTAAACGGAGAAAATTCTAATTAATGGTTAATTACTTTTCAAATCAACACAAAATTTTCTTATGGGCCACATTTTTTTGTCCTTCCTGAATCCTGAGGGAAATAAAAAACTTTAATTTGTATATCATCGTTTTGCAAAACTAGAAAGCTCGCTACACGCGCCAAAATATTTAAAACTAAAAAAGAAATAATTAGCCAAAAAGTATATAAATACACGATTTGAATAAATACACTGAAAATTTTAAAAATTACAGAAAACAGAAACATGTTATATTATCTTTTAAAAAAATCTAACACATGACTGTTGAGTTACAAAAATAAATCTTGATTTTGAAAATGAGAAACTCAATATAAAGTTGTATACGAGAAAAGCAATATGAAAATAACAAAACATAAGATTCTACTGTTAATTTATCATTGGTAATGATTCTTTGCTCATTATTCTCTTACAGGCATTCTGTGACTGTTAACTCGTCCCACTTCAACGAGAACCAAAACTGGCAACAGAAGGGGATCTCCTTCATCACTTGATGCTAACTTTCCCTTGTCAATTTTTGTGATTAGATTCAGCAGAAAGAAGCTCAAAAAGATCACGACAACTTTCTCGAAAGGTTCTTCAAACCGCTTCCTACACACTTCATTATCACCGTCCCGGTCGATGGATCAGTTTCTATCCCAAACTTAACCCCCAAAAAGTCTCTTATGTTCCTCAATGTCTCGGCGAATGTCTCGAATTCGTGTCGAGACAATGTTCCCACACGAACCTTCGATACATCTTGCGGGCATAGTGCACACAGTATAAACAACAGACCCTGTCACAAAAACCGAGTTTCAGGATAAGAGTTTAACAAAATCACCCGAGCAAAGGGGATTGCGAATCAATGTCATCCACAAGTATGGGAAGAGAATTTTCCAAAAGGGCCGCTCACCCGGTGTGTTGAATCAATAACTCCGCCTTTTTCAATCTCCCGAAGAAGACAGGACGCTGTTTCCTCACCTGTGTACTCTGCAGGCATTCTCTCTTTCTTCTCTGCTTCGAGTTCACCCGTTTCATCTACTCTTCCACAAGAGACCGCGGTATCGGCAGAGATGTAACACCCTGAAGTGGTTTCTGCTACAATTGATATCCCGTAACCGGGGGATCTGCAATATGGGTTAATGATTTCGTAAGCCGGACAGCGAGAAGTCTAGGGGTGTTCTAGGACACATCGTATCCAAATATGTAAGCCTTACTTTCCAGCCTGTGGACCAGCTCTGTGATCAGAGAAGATGTGAACATCGGGAAGAAGGTTGTTAAAGATTCCACGAGCTGCATATCTCATAGAATGTTCAAAGTCGGTGGAAACTTTTGTGGAGAAAGTCACACCTCGTATCCTCTTAACCATTCCTTCATCCATCCACTGGACTGCCTGAGGGGAGGAAAAGAAAACACATAAGATGTCTGATGCACAGAAAAGCGTAAATGAATGTCATAAAAAATGCTCGACACATTCAGCTCACAGTTAGACTCTGAACGTTAGGGACTGTTAAGACAACTTCTCCACCCCCTTCCGGTGCTACCCCACGAGCTTCTATCTTTAGATCCAACCCTTCTGCAGGAACTCCGAAACGCTTTAATATGTGTAACGTGGTAGAACGAAATGTATCGATGCTTGGGTCCCTTGAATCATTTGTAATTCCTGTATAACAAAAATCACCTTACTTGACCATAATATTCTGCATGCCCTAAGCCGTATATCTACTTTGTTTACTCAACAGGAGCTCAAAGAATTCCTAAAATTTCATGAATTGAAGATTTAATGTCTATACACTGCAGTTCACCTCCAAAGTAAAGACAAACCCAAGCGTGGCTTTTGCTCATCGCACCTAAAAACACTGCCTTCCTCCTCTGGGTCTATCCCGACTCTAGATGTTAACATGTTCAAGTCCAAAGTAAACTATTGATGATGATAGACACATGAGAAATAATTCACCTTTGAGTCTTATCGAAAGGGGTTTCTTTCCAAACAGCCCCAACACAAGCAATGGCTCCAAAAAATAGCCGATAGATCGATTCAGCCCACAGTGATGAACCAAGTTCTTCCCTCCCATTATAATCCCAGGTTTGTACTTTAGCTTGGTTCCTGCAAGAGATATTGCAACATATTAACTCCAGAAGCAAATTAACGCTCAAAAGAAGAGGATCCAATATGAAGCCTAGACCCGAATATCTTCTAAAACAATCAACATGCGAATTATCAATCAAATAAACTGAATGTTACAACTGTTGGAGATCTAAAGTTCTAAACTCCAACTACATTGGTCGAATACAAGCACATTCGGGATATAGAAGTTCCACCAGAATCATCTCCAACACTCTAAAATCCATAATTCAAGCCTCGGTCGAGCAATTCAAATTCCATGAAGAAAACAAAATTTCAATAAACCCTAAACTTTGAAACTCCAACCAATCCCTGGCTCTAAGTTATACGAGAACGCGCAGAAGCTAGCGAATTTGTCTTCTATCCGATAGAAAATTTTAAAAACAAAGAAAAGAAGCATAAGAAGAAGCAAGCGAGCTGACCAGTTTCGTTAATCTCGACGACGCAGTCATCGGAAACAATCTCGAAGAGACGAAGAAGAGAAATCTCGTGTGGACGGAGACCGGGAATCATATCATCGGCACGAATCTCTTCGATGATTATCGGAGTCGAAGAAAGCGTCGCCAGAAGCAGCCTTTGCCTCATACTCTGGCTTCCCTTCAACCGCATATACGTCGTCTTCCCCATTCTCTCTCTCTAGGGTTTCTCTAGGGTTTCTGCTTAAACCCTAATCGCCTTTTGTTTTCTTCTCTGCCTCTCTCAAGTACAAAAGAGTGGAAATCGCAAAAAAGAAAAAACAAAAAAAAAAACAGTTAAACCAAAAAAACTCTACTTTTTTTTTTTTACTAATTAAACTCTATACTTGTTGATTGGTGATTCATCTACAAAACTCCAAATTTTTTAAAACTTCGTCGATGTGTCAGTGATATGGCTTCTTAGGATAAAAAAAATTAGGGTAATCGTAGAGAGATAAAAAATTGTTTTAGAAAAAAGGTTAGAAAAACAAAAACAATTTCGAACCCGTCCCGAGACCCGACTGACCGCACCCATTTAACCCGAAGTCCGAAAGCCCAAAGTTTAATGAGCTTATATTTTCTAGGTCCACATCTTTATTATTTCTGGACAGGTTCGGGTAGGATTTTGGATTCTGGACTTAATTGACTTCCTTTAATATATGTGTGTGAGTATAGGAGTGGGTATAATATCCGAAAAAACCGAACCGATCTATTATCCGATCCGTATCCAAATCGAAAATTCGGATATCCGAAATTTACGGATCGGATATAGATATTTATTTTAAAATATTTATTGAATGTGGATCGGATACGGATATCAAATTCGAATTATCCGACATATCCGATCTGATCCGTACTAATTAATAATATTATTAAATATAAAAATTAATTTGTTATAGAGATATAAAATGCTTTATACTTACATGTTTTGTAGGGATATATTCAAGAAATAATTTATATATATTGAGATTTAGAATGTTTAATCTTTTAAATATTACGATTTATTATGTATAATTTTTTAAATTTTAAACTTTCAATATATTTGTATATGATAGTTTATGATTATATTTGTATTTGAATTGATTTAAAATATTTAAATTATGAATAAAATTTATATTAAATAATTTATATAATTTCTTTATATTTGACATTGTTATTTAAATTTGATTAAAAAAAGTTATAATTTTTTTATATTGGATACGGATATTCGCAAATATTCGCGATATTTACGAAAATCCGTAATTTCAGATATCCGTAAATTACAGATCGGATACGGATAATAAAATTGAGTATTTGTGTGGATTAGATACGGATATGGATATCCTAAAAATTATGGATATCCGATCCGTGCTTACCCCTATATGAGTATATAAGTATAACCGTAAAAGTTAAACAAAAAAAAAGCAACTCATTCACGTATTAAAGACATTTAAATGATGACAAAGATAAATAAAATTAACCCATTAAAATTGAGAAACTTGTAAGTTGTTACATAGCTGCAAATTTGTCCCATACGCCGTAAAAACTAATCAATTAAATTTTTTTGATATAAAAAGAAAAATATTAATAGATTATTATTTAAAAAATTCTAAAAATTTATCCGTATAATATAAAAAAATTAACATGCTCACACGTTCTCTTGCAATACATGATAAATTCAATTTGTTTTCAAAGCCATTATTCTATTTAATTACATGAATAAAATAAAAGATAAAACGGATAAGGGTCAAAAAGGGCAAAATAGCAAAAGTATACTTACTTTGCTACAAAAACTTCACTTTGTTACAAAGATTTCAGGTACTGCCCTTCAAAACCCCTAGATTTAAAAAAAAACAAAATGAACAAAAGACATAATTATCCCTTTTAAAAAATAACGTGATAAAGCACAAATCAATATTAAAAGATTTTTTCCACTCTCTTCCACTCACTTAGCCATTTTGAACTATTCTCCCTTTCTCATAATTTCTTAACTCTTCATCTCTTTCTTAACTCTTCATTTTCTCAACTCCTCATCTCTTTCTCAACTCTTCATTTTTCTAACTCTCATTTTATTTCTACACGCAGAAAACAAACGAAATAGTTTTTCCATTGAACACATCTTCATCGATGACTTCATATCTCCTTCGCGATTCGGCCGAAGACAGAACAAATAACAAAAACAGAAGATAAGTTTATTAATAAATGAGATTGGTTCGATGCATGAATTTTCTGTTTTTTTTTTTGTTCGAGTTTTATAAATTTAAAGTGAATCGTGTGGTATTTGATGAAAATAAGATATTTGCATAGCAACACTGTCAAAAAATGTGCAAAAACACATCTCTAATCTCAAATGGATTTTTGGAGTGATAATAGAACATATTGTCAACGAAACAAAGGTATGTCACACTGGTCACACCATTCAAAATTTAACATTGGTCATACAAGTCACACTAGTCACACAAGTCACAGTGGTCACACCGTTCAAAATTTACTCTGGTCACACTGGTCACACTAGTCACACTGGCCACAACGTTCAAAATTTATTATGGTCACACTGGTCATACTGGTCACACCGTTCAAAATTTATTCTGATCACACAGATCACAGTGGTTATACAGGTCACACTAGTCACACTGGTCACATAGATCACACCGTTCAAATTTTAAATTCTGATCATATTGGTCACACCGATCACACGTGTCACACTGATCACATAGGTCACATAACTTAATATTAAACTCTAGTCACACGGTTACACTGGTCATACTGGTCACACTAGACACACCAAAATTTTTTCAAATTCCCAGCAAAAAATTTAATTTTTTTTTGTAATGGAGGGAATTTTTAAAATTTTAAAATATTTAAATTTTTTATAGGAAACGGAAAACTACTATTTTCCCTCTCTCCATTAAATTTTCTGCAGTATTGTATCAAGCTCTTTATTTATGGGTCCCATGTGGGTGGGTATGATGGGAAAAACACAATTATAAGAGTAGTAGTATTTGAAGGTGTTTTTTTCTGTTTTTTTTCAGGGGTATGCATTGAAGTCAATGTAGCAAAGTAGGGGCATTTTTAAAGTTTGCCCGTCTAAAAGACGTCTTCATTAGCATCAGACATATTTATTAGCCCACTACTAAACATATGCAAGTCTCTCATGCCATGGATATTGGTGAAGTGCGCTACTTGAGCGACGACGCGGCTCACATGCTCGAGATGAAAGTCACTCATGTTCAGAACGCTTGCAAAGATCTGATGGTCGCGAACTGGATAGAGCTACATGCCTTGGCAAATGTCTTTCGAGCAACCGAAGCTGTAGAGGAGTTCAGGGATTCTCACTTCCATAAAGGTGGAGATTTATGGCATGCTAAAATATCAACAGACCTTAGAGACTGTTAAAAAATATCGTGATTCTAGAATTTTACAAACTATTTTATTCGATGTTAGACCAAATTATTATTATGTACTAGAATGTTCTTAGAATTAGTATATATATGTGTGGCCTTATAATATTTTGAATAACAAAAATATTTTTTTACCATTGATAATATAGTATCAGAGCTCTAAATCATCTAATCGACATTTTTCTTCCAAACCCTAACACCACATTCCTCGTTCTTCTTCTTTCCTTCGATCATGGCCGTTGAAAACTCATCTTTCAACATTTTCCCATACACCGAAATACAATGTCATTTCCAAACGGAAACATTGCCATATCGTGGAAACCAAACTCACGTTTCTGACTCACTCGTCTATCCCCTCTAAATATTGGATTCTTACTTTTTTTGTACTTTTTATATTTTGTATTTTATTCTTATTTTTTTATTTTTGACAAATGTCAAGTTAACGTAGACAACAAGGCCGTCTCTATGCGGAGTGCAGTTGGAACATTTGCACAGGGCTCTCAAATTTATGAGGCCCCACTTTCTTTTTTTTTAAAAAAATATTTTTTTAATAAAATAAGAAAAACTATTATAACTTAAAAATATTAAATTTTGTTATATTGTAATAATCTTTTATAGCAATTATATTTTTTAGTTCATAATTTTTAATCATTATATATTTTTAAAAATAAAAAAATTAGTATAAAAAAGTATTTTTTAATCAAAAGTTTCATAACAATAAATTTGATTTTAACTTGTATTACTCTTTAAAATAAAACGTAATAATTTATATATATTTATAAAAAATTATTGTAATAAATAATATATTTTTTTCTATAATTTAAAATTTTATCTATTAATTATTATATTTTAAAATTTTAAATATTAATTAGATTAAAAATTATAAAAAATAATAAATATATAATTGAACAAGACCTCTCAAATCTATGAGACGACTCTGGTAGACAACACATGATGATATATTAGTCATATTATCGTGTCAATTTATAAAAATGGGATAAACATGTGTGTAGAATATTATAACAAATTTTAGAATTTAATTTTAATATAATTTATAGTGAAGCTGAAAAATCATATAAAACATTGATACAATTACATAAATTTGTCTTGTAATATATTATTTTCTCTTATTTTTTAATGAAAATTTTAACATATAATATTTGAAAAATTCGGTACCATACAATAACTAAAAACAAACTATTTGACATTAATAATTAAAATATTTGTTTCAATAAAAAAATTGATAAATATATATAACAAAAGGAATAGACCGCGGTTATTTACTAGTGAAATAAAAAAGTCTAAAACCCGTACAAGTAAGGAGCAAGCTTAAGGAGAGGATCAAGCGTACTAACGTGAAACTTCCTCCCGAAAAGAAAACACAAATTCGTAAAATGTCCTTCATAACTACAATTAAACCCGAACCGGATCCGGTCCAATAAACCGACCCGAATATCTCTCCGGACATACGTAACCGGATGGGACCCACCTCTCGACCAATCCACCCACGTCACGCTCCGGTTCGAATTCGTCTCCGGACATACCTGTCGCATTTTTTTTTATATATGATTTTATATCAGTTTTTTTAACCAAGATGAAAGAAAATTCAAAAATATATTTAACTATTAAATTAAATTTAATTATCTATTTAAACAGAAGAAAAATGACATATTTAATATTTTTGAAAAAAACCTAAATAAATAAACGAATTTTAAATTTCCAAAAAAATATAGGAACTAAATTTTTACATCAAAATCTCAATTTTTAAACAGTTTTAAAAAAATCACTATATTACAGTGGTTTTGATAATAGTTTAAAAGTTTAGAGTTTTATTTAATAGCAGGTTTTTAGTATCTTTAAAAATTTGTGATTTAATTTAAATTGTTTTTAACAAATTTATTGAAATTAGAAAGAATTCATATATTTATTTATATATTTTCAATTTAATGTATTTATTCGGATATTTTTATAAATTTGTATTTTAGTATGCCATTTTCCCTTGAATTTGACTTTGACAAGTTTCCCAATACCTTAGTCACCAACGTAGGCAAATAATGCTCGTCCATGTAACACGGAGGCTTACAGTGCTCCTTGAAAACGACGTAGTATCGGCTGTCAGAGACGACGCGCAGGGCGACACTGCGGTGTAGCTCGAACCACTGGTTACCCTTGCGCCAATCAGAGAGCGACACGTATGGGAGCATAGTGGGCCTGTAACGGCCACGGCCCATGGGCCTAGGGTCATCGAAGGAGCCCAAGAAGGAGCGCGTGGAGCGCGTGAGGTAAGAGTAGGTGAAGGTGAAGTTGAAGAGGGGGATGCAGGACTCGGAGAGGAGGACGAACCGGGAGTTCGAGTGGTCGAGGAGCGCGTGCGAGAGAAGCCGACGCTCTGCGTCCATCATCGATGATCTTCCCCATTCCACCGCCTGCAATTTTTTTTTAATATATACTCGAAAAATGTTGAATGATCATAGTGTTTTGATCCAATATGGTAATGGTTAGTATGGAAGCAAAATCCTAAACTTCGGGTATTTGAATATTATATTTTATGATGAGTTATATCCTAAAAAAATAGGAAAAATAGATTTGGATTAATTTAGTACAAAGTTATATATTAGGGGTAGTCAGAATTTCGGGTATCCGGCCGGGTCATGTATTCGGATATTGAATATTCGCTTTACAACGAGATAAAGATCAGGTTTTAATATGTCTAACACACAAAATTCGGGTTTGGATTTGAGTTTATATTTTCAGGTCGGGTAATTATATATCTATGGGTACCCGAATAGTAAAAAATATATTACTTATAAACTATTATAAACAAAAATAGAAAGATGAAAATACGTTTTCAAAGTTACGAAAATGTTATTATACTAATTTTTTTTGGGTTATCTTAACAAAATCACCAAGAGGTAACAATAATATTAATTAATAGAATTGATTATATTATTCAAATAACACTTAAGAGTTTAGATATTTAGGAAAATCGTATAAAAATATAAAAATTTATATAAAAATCCTAGATTAATGTCATCAAATTTGTGGAGTTATATGAGAGGGTCTTTTAAAAAAATTATATTTTTTTAGAAGTGAATACGAATTAGAATTAATTTGAAATTTTATATAAATTCCTGTATTTCCATGAAATTTAAGATCAGCTATCTCCAAAAATAAAAATAGCTTTTTCTTTTTCTTTTTTCTGATTTTTCCATGTTAATTCTTCCAGGTTTTGTTGGCATCAATTAATGTGAAAACCATGCATGCATGAATGAAAACACTGACGGTTAGTAGCAAGGAAGGAAACCCTAACCTGACCAGGTATCCTCGTCTTGTAAAACACAGAGGACTGTGGAGGTTCCTCGTGGAACTCAGGAGAGGTGTGAACATAAATTGAGAAGAACCCTTCATTCCCCTTGAAGAAAATCTCCCACAGTGGAGCCAATGGCAGTCTCCCCCTCGTCAAGAACATGAACGCAACCTTTTCAACCCTCTTCTCCGCGCCATGTGGTGCCATTGACGCCCTCCACATCAGCTCCTCGTCATAATGACCCGGAAGAAGAGGAGGAGACAGAGACAGGTGCCTCCAAGCATTTGTGCTGTTGTAGCAGAGGTTGTAAGAGAGAGAAGGCGGCGGGCAAATGGAGAGGAAGTAGGGTTTGAGGCGGTGGTTGAGGAACATGGAGAGGAGGATGACGAGAGAGGCCAATGAAGAGAAGAAAATGGCGGTGGCTATGATGTGAATGTATCTGAAACTCACTTGCTTCTTCATGCCTATGGCGAGTTCTTTGACCAAAGCTTTCATCTTGTGTTTCTTCATCGTTTCTTCCTTTTTCACCCTTTACAATTCTTGAAGCTTTATGCTTACATATATATAAATATATATATATATTTACATACATGTTTGAGTATGCGTGTATATATATACAAAGAGAGGATATAAAAAGGTCTAAGGAAACGTGTTGAGACAAGTACAGGAGCATGAATGTTGCAGCAGCTCTTTTAAGTTAAAGCTAGAAGAACAAGAAGGCTCATAAACGTGAAACTTAACCAAAATAAAAATATTTTTTGATGGTTACTATAAACTTTAAAAAAAAAAAAAAGACTAGCTAATCCATCATTACATTTATGACCAAAGAAAAAAAAAAGAGATTTGAAGGTTTTTTGGTGATGGTGCTGTGCTACTAAGCTTCTTCCGGGAATACCTTCACGAGGAAATCAATGAAGCGTTTGGAGTAAAGCTCGGGTTCAATGGCGGATATGGTCATTGGATCATACTGCAGAGATTTGCAAGTATGTTCCACTTTCTTCTTCATGTTGTATTCTTGAAGAATATCTATGATTCCCATGTATATTACCACATCGTATACTTCAAACAGCTCTATCCTCGCCGTTTCCTCGTTGTCCTGAAGAAGCTTGTGGTGAGCTTGTGCCGGCATGTTTACTCCAAGCTGTACTCGCAGCCTTCACACAAAAAAAAAGGAACGGTTTAGTAGTACAAGGATAAATGATTTAACATAGTTTTCTACTGCATTTTCTTCTACTGTATTTTCTCTATATCCACGTTGTTGTACTGTAATTATTTACATGATCACGATAATATACCTTTAAACTCTTATAATTCCATGTCGCAAGAACGAGGCAACGGGACAAAAGATCAAGTGAAGAATCATAATCTTGGGAACAACAATTACCGTGCGGTTCCAGGCAAGATAAGATCAACCTCTCTTTCTCCGACGGAAAATGCTCGGAGTGTGCTTCCCCTGATGTGAGGACCGGGAGCAGTATTCACTGAACTAGGTTCATGTGTAACTAGTAGCAGTCCTTTCGGAGGAATGGAGAGTTCTTGAGACGAACCCGCTGAAGAAACAGAAATGGGTTAAGTAAAGAACAAAAAAACCCTCCATTTTACGCCAAAAAAAGAGAAGAAATCAAGAGTTTTTTTGGGCACAGAGCCGGTTTCTCTTTGGCCAGCGATTGTTTTCTCCAAATGCTGAACAGAGGATAACTATTTCAAAACGATGAACCTACCATCCACTGAAGCAATGCTATCTTGATCCGACAATGAATTAGGAGGCTCCAGGATATCATTGAGCTGCTCGGGAGCCCTAAAATGTAATCCCAGTAGAAGGCTGTAATCAATGATTTGCAGAGATTCCAAGAACGAGCAATCCAAATAAATTTGCCTGCGGAAAAGAGGGAAGAAGATATACATTAAGAATGTGCAACTAAAAGCTATTTTTTATGTGCATGTAAGTTCATCAATTATGTCAAATGGGGGCAAGTTTACATGAAAGGCGCATACATAGAAGGAGGACCAAAGAAAGACTAAGCCATGCCAAAATATCAGAAGGAATGACAAATAGGACATGTAGTATTAGAACTCACTTGAAGAGGGCCTCCCTTAGAAGCTTGTCCATATGAAATTCATAAGCAAGATCAAGATCTTTCAAGGTTGTCTTTTCTTCGATTTTGCTCTTATCTGTAAATCTCCCTTGAGTTGAGCCCTTAAGGTCATAACGACGATGAATCTTCAATTCTGTGCAAAACATATTCCCCATGACCACAAAGCGTACCTATCAGAGAAGCACAGAGCTTATCCTAAAAAAGAAAAAGTGAAACCACAAATGGGAATTATACTATTAAGGAACCAGAAAAGTTTCATACCTTTTTGCCCCACTTGAGTTTTATTCTGTGAACTCCAAAAAATTTTGTTATAAGTGTGTTTTCATGGTCCCCTACATGATCATAATACTTAGGCAGCATCCTGAGTAGAACCTAGAAAACAAAAGGATCAGATTATTACAGTGATAGTTATGTCTATCTTTTCTGAGATGCTATCGTTACAAGTTATTAATCTGCGTATAAGACGCTGAACGATATGAAATATACTAAAGAAATATGTATATATTATCAACAGACACAGATAGAGGAGAACATAGACAAGACTCCATTTCTAAGCATTCAGGCTTACAAGCTTTTCCTAAACCACCATTCAATGTCAAATCAATGCAAGGAGAGAAAAAAAAGAGGTGGTTTGGTTTTCGGACCTTCAATTCAGATTTTTTTAACGTCTTTATCACAAATCTATCGTCGTGAGAAAGATAGAAGATACTTCCGCTTTTCCCTGGGGAAGAAATTTCCCTCAAGCCATCATCACCACAAATGGACATCATGTACTCTGCAGCATCTAACTTGAACATCTCCCTCAAATTCCTGCAACGTGCCGTTAAAATACATGTACAACGAATCAATTGAACGAACAGATAATCTTAAATACACCAAGAGTAATAACTGAAGATAAAATCTACAGGTTGAGGTTGACTGAAGATGATGCCCAAAGCATTAGACATGTGGGAACTAAAAGATGTAAGCCACTTCTCTACAGAATTTACTTGACCATGTTACCCAGTTTATTCAGCATTATGGGCTGTTAAGGCTATCGTAAATAGTTATTACCCACAAGTAAAAAATAGCTGAAAAAGTCAACATGATAATATCCTTAAGATAAAAACTTCAGCTGAGGTAATCAAGTGGGATTAAACAGACTGAGAAGTTCAAATCTTTTTCTCTGGCAAATGTCTCTTTAGGTTCTATCATTTAAAGAAGTTCTCAAGTAGACAATCAGTCTCAAAAGTTCACAGGCAGAAATGTATATGTTCTCTGGTGTGATTTAAGCTTAATTTGGTGGCAGCGAGAAAAAAACCCGGTTTACCTGAAAACCATGGGACAGTAATCCTTCCAATAGAAATCAATAGATTTGTGTGGAGGTGTAAACTGGGAACCTTCTCTAGGGAAGAACATCCTGATTCTGGCTCTGTCACCAAAGTCAGAAGCACGGACTTCCCGCCTAGGTACAGGAGTGATTTTGCCAACAGTATACCTGTGAACTTCAAAAGATTTGTCATGTAAGAGCATAATTACAAGATTAGAGAAGTTATGTGGGAAATGCATGAGGCTGTCATGATATGTATCTATACTGATGGTCTCTTTGTGGGTGGGTGAGTGTGTGCATGTATGACTCATTAATCAAGCCATATTGTGCAGAAAAAATAACACAACAGGTTTTAGACTACAAAAAGTTATCTGGAGAATCTGATGAGACATTGAGAAACATTTTCAGCATAAGTAGTTCTGGGTGAAGCTTTACTTTCGTAATCATAAGGTTTCTTGGCATATTTTCCAGCGCTTCCACAGAAGATAAAATGAGTTAGGGTGTCGATTTTGTTTACCTGATACCAAGTTGGAGATTAAGCATGAGATAATAACTCTGTTTGCCCCCCAAAAAGGCCATACAGGTGCTAGTCCCAATTTCTTTCTGATGGCTCGGAGGGTTGGCCTTATGTGACATGTTATCAGAACTTATGACACGTTCTCTAATCAAAACTCCTTGCATGTACTCCCTCTCGTAAACTATACGGTTCTTATCTTGCCCCTCACTTTGACCAGAGTCAGAAGTATGTATGGACTTGTTTGAGGGGCCATGACATACAAAATCTCTAGTTGGATCACAAAGGCTCCAATTTTCATCCAGAAACCTATCTGATAGTCTTCTATGCGAATTCCTCATCGTTCCATTTATAGGGGGGTTTTCAGAAAGACTTCGTGTGATAGTTTTTGAATGCCTTACTTCTTCAACGTTTATTGAAGAACTACGAGAAAGGAGAAAATTCCCGGTGTCATCATAACCAAAAGACTGACACCACTTCTTTAGAGAAGGATGCTTACTTCCGGCAGGATAAAAGATTCCTTTTCCGTCCTTTAGCCCACGTGTCCAGGTTCCAAAATAGAGACCTCCATCAGCAAACTTATAAACCCCGGAGCCATGCCTAGACCCATTCACCCAAAAACCGTCAAAAAGATCACCATTTGCCCACCTCATGACCCCTCTTCCATACATTTTACCCTTTTTCCAATTTCCTATGTACCTATTCCCATTGTTCCAAGAATAACTACCACTTCCGTCTTGTAATCCTTCTTTCCACGAGCCATTGTATATATCTGAGTTAGAATATTCCTTCCTTCCTAACCCATGCCGTACATTCATTCTCCAGGATCCACTATAGACAGATCCATCAGGCGAAGTTAAAGTGCCGAAACCATGAAGGTAGCCTCCAGAGAAATCTCCCTCATATTTCGCCCCCGCTGACCATGTAAGTTTTCCTTTCCCAGAAATTTTTCCTTCTTCCCAAACACCCTCGTATATAGTTCCATCTGTCCACACATAACTTCCCCTCCCGTGAGGAAGTTCTCCTTTAAATTCACCAGAATAGAAATCGCCGTTTGGGAATTCTTTCTCGCCAAACCTGAGAAAAGATAAACTTAAGACAACGGGAAAGGGAAGACAAAATGCAAGAAGATCTATTAACAAGAATACATACCTTCTTGTCTCCATCTCGATCAGCATCTAGAAAGTAAGGTGATTTTCCACGTAGTTTTCATTGGCCTTATTTGTGATGCATTACCAAGTTCAACCAATTTTCTGAACACAACACATACACTAATGCATAAGCTGATAAGTTGATAACCACGGAGGTACAATTATTGCATTCAGAACTCCAAGATTCAATGAAATACACACACAGACAAGTGGATCCACTGGGATTTAAGGGAACAACAGTCCATGCTTCAACTCAAATCATCAAATTCAGTTGCACTTCCTATCTTATCCACTATGCTTCACCCACAAATCCAAATCCATTTCTTATTCCTAAGCTTCATTATTTTTAAAGCAAAGCCAGAAAAATAACTAATCTTCCTGGAACACTTATAAGTTTGTTCATCACAATGGATCTCACCTTTTCTCCGAAAAAAATTGCTAAAATCCGGTTCAAGTAATAGATAATAACAAGTGATTCAAAAATGGGTCTCCATATTTTTCGGGCAACCAAAACCTTATCCACTGTGCCCAAAAATTAAGTGCCCATCATTTGCTCAACCCTGAAGGAAATCATACTACAAAACAGCATGTCAATACCCCTTTTTTCAACCAAATACAAATCCGACTGATGAACTTGCTAGTGAAAAGCTTATATCCAAGTAAAGTATAGATGCGAACACGGAGGAAAAAACAAACATTTGACAAAGTAATACCGAGCAAGAATAAAGAATCTCAAGTTATGGTCTCGGTACAGACAAAACCGGATACGATTCGATCCATACTGAGAACAGAAAACCAGATCAAATAGAAACTAATCCGATAAATAATAGGATTCGAAGAATACCCACTTGGAATCTGCCGAGGAAACGGAAAAGCAAGATATTGAGGAAGAAAAACACAAGCAGGGAAAAGGGGACCGAAAAAGAAGAACCCTAGATTGAGGAAAAGCGGAAATTAGCAGTGGGACGATGAAGGAGACAGCTTTTGTTGCTGGGAAATTCTTCTTGCGCACATGTTCGTTGTTGCCCATGCACGAAGTTCCTTTCAGAAATGTTTTTTTTTCCTCCGAATTCTCGATCAGTTTTTTTTTCCCCATTTTTTTCCACTGTTTTTTCATTTTATTTTTATTTTTTAAAATAGAAACTAATCTGTTAATTAATAATTGATAGTTAAAGTGATATAAAACAATGGAGACTAATGATTTCTTTAATCTGCCTTCAGTTTCTATGTTTTAAATTTTTAACTCTTTGAACTTCGAGGGAGGCTGACAAATTTTAACCAATCGAAGCCGGTCCACTTTGTTTTATTTTTATTTTTTTTAGATATAAAAGCTATATCTAAAAAAATACAGTTATATAAATATATATATATATATATATATATTATAAAACCACATGAATGAATTCCATCCATTTGACAGTCACTGTCATCTTTCTCTTATTGAAACGTCCATTAATTATAGGATCATGCAATTTCGTTGATTTTTTTTTTTATGGGAATTATACTTTTAGATAAGTATCCGTCAATATATATATATATATATAAAATATTATAGTATTGTTCCATTAGTCATCATTCTTTTAGAGTACGTCCTAAGGGGGCTAGAAATGTGTTATTGATTTGGTACGTTCTATAGAATGGTGTTTATCGTTTGTAAGATTTTAAACTATCCTAATTATAAAATTGTTCTATTTGATTATACGATTTAATTTGATTTAATCTATGTACATATTTATATTATTTCTTTAAAAAATAGTAAATAGATGATATGGTATAAATCCAATTTGTATATACAACTATACATTAATTACTATAGTTTATAAATATATATATATATATATAATTTTTAGAAAAATATAATTAATATAAATTTAAATTTAATATGGCGATTCAAATAAATTCGGAATAAAGAAATCATATTTTACAACTATCATGAAATTTAAATGCTTTTCGTGAAATGTTACGTCTTGTTTGTTTTAACACATTGTTGCATATTTGGAATGGAACAGTGCAATTATATATTTTTTTTTTTGGGTGACTATGTTCATACAAAAAGACAAAGCTCGAAGCATAAAATAATAAAATAACCAGCATGACTGAATATTTCATTTTTGGTACGAGCATCCAATGAAATTACAATTCTTATTTGCATTTGTTTATATATATATATACACAATATATAAAATAATCAGATTCACAGTGGACTAATAAGCTTATCGATACTTTGAATTATGTTCGTAAAAATCCACCATCTTAATCAAAATAAAGGAATATTTCAATTTGGTTACACAAATTTGATTCTAAAAAATTAAATAATAAGTAATCGAATTGAAAGTCTAAATTCTAAAAATAAAAAAAAATTGGATATAATTTTTAAATTGAACTAAATAACTTCGAATCAAATAAAAAAATTAAAAATGAATTAAAATTATTATAATTGTAAAAACGGTATTTAAATTTTTTAAAAGTGAATTAGAATAGTATTTGAATCAATATATATATGTGTGTGTGTGTGTATGTAATTTTAAACGATGAAAAATTAAAACTAGAAATAATTGAATTAAAATTGGAAAAAAAATCTGAATTTCTGATTTTATTTTTAAATTTAAAAAAATACAAATTACCAGTCATTTTGTATTTAATAAATTTATTTATATGTAATCATATTTTATTTTTTAATAGAATACGATAATTTAATCTATAGATTATCGATATTTTTTTAATATCAATGGCAATCAACGATTAAAATATCTCATCGATATTTAACATCGTTTATAGGATTTTTTTAGTCCGAGGAGGTAGAATCATAGGTCAATTAGCATGTATTATACTTAAAATAGGAATATTAATTATTTAATTATTCGAGTTATCAAAATAAATTTGAGATTAAGATGTTGATTAATTAACTGAGTAGAAAGTGATTATATATATGTATTAGAATAAATAAATTGCATGTGAGAAAGTCAGACAGGTGAAGTGGGTATCACGAAAGAGGACAACGAAGTGGGCCCGTGTCTGTAGGTCTCCTGCCGTACCAATCCTCGCAAACTCTTATAACCTGGAGTTTTTCTTGTGATGAATATTTGAATAAATTATTGCTTTAGAGTTTTTTTATGATTTTAAAATTTAGAATCGTAATAAACTAAAGTAGAAAACTTATTTCTTTAATATAATAAGAAATTAAATTAAACAATATATGTAATTTTTTATATCATAATAATACACAGATGATTAAACGATTTCCAAACTAGTTAATCTATTCTTTTTTTTTATTTAAAATAAAAATAATAATAATTTTCTGTTTCACTAACTTGCTCTCGTACGTTCTCCACCCAACCTAGCCACATGACGGATCCTACGCATACATCATTACCGTTCTTTTCACATTTGTATATTGAATAAATTTAAATATTGGAATATTCACTTTGGAAACGGTCCAAACAAAGATCTTCATTGCTAACTAATCAAACATTAAACCAAAGATTTTTTAACATAAAAAAGGGTAGTGATTGAGATTTGAATGAGATTGAATATGTCGTCTTTGCCAGCTTTCAAATCTTGTATATCTATTGGTTTTATGGTTTAAACAATCTATGGAAAATAAAAAAATAGTATTTTTTTTTTATAATTTAATCCAAATATCACATATCCAACGTTATTTGTGAGTTCGATGTGATCACGTTCATACTTGAATTCCTCTTGAACCATGGGAACGAAAGTTGTTTGAAGTATCTTTCATTCGTAAACGTACGTAAGTGGGATTTTAGCTTGCAAATCTTTCTCGCCCTTATACTCCTAGGATGTCACCATCATTTCCTCTTTCTTTAAAAAGATTTGTTCCCAAATCGTGATCATCCTTTGTATCAAACCGAACCAAGTCAGAAACTCACACCATACACACTTGGAAGTTCGGTTTTACGAGCCTTGTTGTCGACCTCTTCGTGACATGAGCTTCGACTTCTTTTGATGTGGAAATCATTCATTGTAATGTGTATCGGCCTTAATTACGCATGTGTATCGATCGGTCGGAGTGTTACTTGATATGAGAACTTCAATTGTGTATCGCCCTCAATTGTGAGTGTTAATTGACGATTACCAAAGGAACTTTCACTCCCTGTCGTAAAGTCTAAAACCCTATCTTTCCATCACTTCCGTATGCCCTTTCGAGTGTCCTTTGACATGAGAACTTCCTTTCTTTTTATTTTTATTTTTTTATTTTTGCTTTGAAAAATCCCATTTCAAGCAAATTTCTCATATTGTTCATAACATACATTTTGTAGCATTTTTTAGATGAAAAATATGATCTCTTATTCAACTATCAGCTATCATAATCTTAAATTAATTTTTTTAAAATTCAATTTCCGACATGCAAGTTTTTTAAACAGATTTTGTGATGTTTGTGTAGGACATATTTGACAAGTGCACGTCTTGCACAAACGACAGGACTATGAAAAAGATTCGCAGATCCTAACTTACACACTGCAATATTAAAGAACTATCCACGATCTGCAAGCAGAGCTTAATAACGCATATATTATCAAGGATATGTCTTGCCCTTTTAATTGTTAATTGATGTGCGGATTTTTAACAGATATTGTAAATTGGTGGTTGAGCGTAGTTTGTAAATTGTTGTTGTGTTTGATTTTTGTAATCTATTATATTTTGTAAATCATGCACATGACATACTAAAAAGCCTATAGATATTAGTTTTAACCAAAAAAATTACTGTCGACAAAAGAAAAAACCCGTGGGAGTTAGGTTATCTCTCTATCGAAAAAACAGTAAAAGAAAGTGAACCTCACTCTAAGTTTCTAAGAACTATATTGAAGTAACTGTGATGGTTGTAATAACTTCATCTCGATCTTTATTATATCAGATATCAATCACATACATGTTTTTTCGTATGCGAAATAATATAAATGCAAGCTATAGGAAATCATTAGAGTGAGAATTCAAGTCTAAGTCTTTCCAATAACGCATACGGGTGGGTTCGGGTACTTGAGACTCGCGGATTTTCGGGTATCCACACTACAAAAAACACTCATGTTTCCGACGGAAAAATCCGTCGCAATAAAGAGGAGTTTCCGTCGGTATACTTGGTTTGCGACGGAAACCGACGGAACACGTTCTATCCGTAAATGGTTGTCGCAAACATATTCCGGTCGGACATCCGTCGCATAATTGCGACGGAAAACACCCGTCGTAAACCTGTTGTTTTTCGCGTTGGAATAATCCGCCGGTGACCGCGACGGTTTATCCATTGCAATGTAGTCGATATGATTGATGAAAACTCCGTCATTTTTCCATGATAAACGCGACGAACATTCCGTCGTTTAGTCGTCACTATTACCCACGGAATGGCCGTCGTAATTCCGTCGTAGTGTGCGACGGATCATCCATCGCACACTGGTCGCAAAAAGGGATGGGAGGATTGGTCGGAGATTAGTCGCAAACTAGCGACGGAAGTTTTACGACGGGTTGTCCGTCGGTATAATATTAGCGACGGTAAAACGATGGAATGAGTGGCGACGGGTTTTTCCGTCGGTATTTAGCGATGGAAAACTTTTCCGTAGAATTTTTTTGGATTGCTACGGTATGCGGCGGATTAATCCGTCGCAATGTTTATTTATTCGAAAAAAATAAAATTTCGTTTTAAAAAAATAATTATACAATAATATTATTAAAAACAAAACCGAAATTGTTTTATATATTCCAAAACTGAAATCTAACGAAATAAATTGTCCGGAAAATCATCGAGATTTTGCGGATGTTGCACGTCTTGATGAACTGATGGATCGGGATTGACGACGGGACTCAGAGCAGACGAACCGGCAGAATCGATCGGAGGCATAAATCGTTGCATCATCTCCTCTAACCGAGCGATCTTCGCCTGAGCTGCATCAAACTGAGCAATCTTCTCCCGATCAGCTACAAGTTCCGCAGAAGTCTCCTCGTGTTTTCTCTTCAACTCCTCGACTTCACGCGTCAGAGATACATGGCGTACCACTGACGACGAAGATGCGTCAGCACCACCGAGCTGACTCGCCAACGCACCAATCCCGTAAATCCGACCTTTC